GTCTTAGATACGATTAGCACGACGGAAACGATGCAATGGATTTTAATTTATAAAATGTATGGGAAAATTATTTAAGTACGAGTAGACAGATATTAAGATTGATAGAACTAAGCCAAATATTTAATTTTAAGTTTAGTAGATTCAAATTCCTTGCAGCTAAAGAGTGGAGTTTAAGATTTTAAAAAATCTTTAATATGTAAACCCTAAATAATCCTAGTAATGACAATTCTTTCTATAATTGTTGTTACTTTCATGCAAGTGCAACACAACCGTATATGTCTTTCAATTGTCTTCGGTCGAATTGGAAAAAATCAATACATCAATCTAATATTGTCACCTTGTCTTCAATCCATAATTCACACTACGTAACTGGTGACAGGTGAAAATAAGCTCTAACAATCAAGGTGCCGGTCGTGGTGAAATATTACCACGGACATTACTACTGTTTGTCTTTGATGGCATAATAGCCCTTCAAAGCGAGGCCTTGATAATGACACAGTGCCCTATTTGTAACATTTTTTTCACGTGTCCTACTTGTGTGTCTATTTTCATAAACTACAAAAATACCGACTATTTTTCTTTATATTTTATTAAAAATGGTGATTTCTGACAAAAAAAATTCTAGTGTTCAACTGATACATCAGCCCGTCCATTTCACCAAATGGTAACGTTACCATCAAAGTAACACCAATTCGTGCATACATTCCGGTAAATTATCTTAGGATTACCGACGATAAGAATCACCCGGTCATCACAACTGACATCAGCCATCTCATCAAATACGAATCCAGTTCACACGCACAAAGCAGCGGATGATCGCATGTAGACCTGTTATTATCCACACAGACATCCCATTCTTTTTATGTTCATTCGCTCTTCTTTGTATGTTTTTACATCTTACATTCGACACCGAGCTTCCTGCTTGCAAGTGAATAGTCGCATTCAATAGAACTTTAGCTTTGTGCCTTATTGACTACGTTTTCGGGTATTTAATAAAGCTGTATTATCTTCTGAGATGTTCAGTGGGCCGTGGGATACATACGGCGCAAAAACCCGCATTGGATCGGAATGGTGTGTTCTTTTTTTCTCGGCTTTTGTTCGCTCCTCATAATTGTGATTTGGGCTTCTTAATTTGTCGAGTACTTTTGCATTCAACAGGCAGTCGTAAAGGGAATAAAACGTTGAGGTTTTTTTAGTATTTAAATAATTGTCCTATTAAAATTGGATGATTAATTTTAATACAACTCTATCTTATAGCTAAATTTCTTTATATTTTTTTAAAAGTCTTTAAGAATTTGAATGATATCTGGGGGCACGGCAGTGCCCCCACCAAGTCGAGCAAAAAAGCGGCACGGCCGTACCATCCTTTTCTCGAAGCAATTCAGGCCATTTTCGATCGCCTGTAACTGCGTTGTGGATAAAACTGAATGAGAAGGCTGAATTTTCATTAGCTATGCAGGCATTGTAAAGACACGGTATATTTCAAATTTCATTCAATTTGAACCAGTAGTTTAAGAATTATAACGGGTCAAAGTTTCTTAATTTTGTCACTCACTGACTGACTGACTGACTGACTGACTCACCGATCATCAAAATCTTGCCATCGCACTACACAATTTAATTTACACGTGTTTTCATGCGATAGCAAGTCAATATATTTATGTAAAACGTTAAAGATTTCCTGGCCTGGACTTGGTATTACATGGATCTCACAACTTTTTACCGTAGAACAACTGAGTTGCGAGACTTGGTTTTTTTGACAAGTATTGTTTTTGATGGGATAATAATATACCGAAGTTACTCATAATTACTAATGTTTTATTGAAGATAACGTTTTAGAAAAGAGATAAAAAAAAGATTATTTTGGGAATTATTAATTATGAATTTTTCTCCTTACATCATCTAAAAACCTTTTATTTTAAGAAAAAGATAGATTTCTACGACTCGCAGTTAATATCATATAGGACTTACACTATTTTATTAATCATACGCATATAGACTTTCCATTGCGGATGCGTCCTTTGACGGATTTAGTTGTAGCTATTACGTGGACACATCCAAAGGTGCTATGATATGATATAAAGCAGTTAAACCTCTTAGTCTAGATTTTCCCATGTAAACCCAATAGTTTGCTTCCAGTGGTTGAAATTTTATAAGTCAATTAATGATAGTTCCAGCTATTCGGATATTCAAATTATTTGGTTAAACCACATCAAATGCCTGTCATGTTACACGGAATCGAAAATTAATTAGTCGAATGGATACATTATAACTGTTCGTGGATTTATTAATTAATAGGGAAATATTTTTTCCTAGAATTAAATAGTTTTCAACTGAGACGAACTTTTTGTGTAAGGTTTTTACTTTGGTGGTCATCATACTTTATTCGAAGGTAAAAGGCGGATATATTTTATAAAAAGACATGTCCAAATAGAGTAGGTAATTATTATAGTCCATATATGAAATGCTAATGGAATATTTAAGTATTTAAGTAGACCTTGAATAGACAACATACCTCCTTAGTGCCAATGAAATTTTTCAACATGTCTATGAGTATATCGAAATGGAATGACACATTTAATTATAGCAATGAAAATGAAATTCCATCTTATTCAAGCTTCATTGCAATCGTAGAAAATGTAGAAGTATGAAGAATGGGAACCAATATGGAGACCCGGAGGGTATTTGTTTTCAATAGAGCGGCATCTTTACTTGTATGCAAGGTTCTATTTCGATGCATTTCTTACAAAAAGTCACAAAAATATACATAGAGTGAGAAAGTCAAAGTGACTTTCACTTGTTTTGTCGAAAGTCTAGCTCTTCGTAATACCTAATCGTAGTTTAGATAAAGATCTCAATTATAAACTAGAAAACCAAAGACTAAAGAGACTGTTGATAACAATTAATATCAATAAGATCAGTTTTCAACAATTATGCAGCAAATAATAAGGCATAAGAAAGTTGATCAACCGATTGTTTTCTATGACATGTTTTAAACATAAAATCAATTCGCCCCGTTACTCTACCTTTTAATAAGGTCCATATGAAACTAACATCAACTTTCACGAATTTCAGTTAAAAGTTACCAGAATTCATTAACCTACGTTTGCCTGCCAACTCAAATTAAACTGCTTAATGAACCGAAGAGAGATTAATGAGGTGTTTTCATTACAATTAATTTGAAATGAAAATGCGATGCGTTGAAAAACTGGGATATTTGTTTGAACTTAGCTTGGTTCAGACCGCAGCCCAAAAGACCATTGAAGCAAAACTATTGTCATTCAATTATTTTTCCCCTGCAGTTAATTTGAACATTGAATTGAATGCACTTTTGGCAGTTGATTGTTGCTCAAATAGGGGTACAGCTTCCCTCTGTTTCTCAAATCGCTCTAATAATAATCGTACACACAAACCCTTACAAATACATACCGCAAATGAGTCTAATAAAAATTCTATAAAAATCCCTGATTATTTATATGTACCTATATCATTTCATCTTGTGAAATATTTTCATTTTTACTTCTAAAAAGATCTAAGCAGCTTTTAAACTATTCATGGAAATAACTGCACCTTGAAAATATTAAATTGAATAAATGTAGCGCTATATTGGTAACGGAGGTCACCTTTGCTTACACCCAACTAACTACGCAAGCTCCTTCCATTTTAAATGTTTAACTTTTAAGTTTATAGAGCTTCAGTGATTTAAAATGATGCAATTTGCAGGACTTCTTAGAATTAGAAGTAGGCCAAGGTTTGTTTGTCTCAGGAATTATTTTTTCATTTAAGTATTTACTCGTGTTTACTCACAGATATTTTGAAAATTAAACTTTCTTGAAGTAATACTATATCACTAGTAACACCATGGATACTATACATGTGCACCGAACAAATTATATATTATGTAAAAACATGAAAAACAAAAGAGCAAGCACCACTCGGGAACCCCGCTGTAATTGCCGGGTGGGCCCAGTGGGGCGGGGCCCCATACCGAGCGACGTCAAGACGTTTAATTTATGACTTTTGACGGTCGCTCACTTGCTCGCGAGCGACCAATGGAAGCGTGGCTTTTATTTTGGTAAGGGATGTGTTCTCATGGGATCTTCTGGGCACTGATCTACCATATATAACACCTTGCGCGGATGTCGGTTAGTGACGTATAAGGATCTTTCTGTGATTTGGAAGTCGTAATAAAATATACTTAATCTGTTAATAAAGGTCAACAACTGCAGTTTTGTCTGCTTATTTCGAAGTAACACTTCTTTAGAGCAAGTACTCATTAACCAAGTGGCTAAACACACAATTTTTGAATCTAGACTAAAGCTGAGGGCCGATTGGGCCGAAAAAAAAGTCTGCGGTATGTAAATAATAATAATAAATAAAGAAATAAATCATCTATTTCGGACAAATTATACATCCAAAAATATGTGTTAGTAATGTGACTTAAAAAGGTAAAAAAAAGCAAAAGTAGTATAAAGTAGTTGTGCTCGTGTACGTGCAGCGTAACAAAACATTTTTCATTGAAGGTTATCCCCTCCTATTGATTTTAGTGCGATGTGAAATAGCCTATATTATCTTCTTATACATATTGACATTAGCGTGTTTAACCAAACAAACAAACTCTTGGTCTCTATCGTCGTTGCACGAGATTCTCTAACTTACCTCATGCACTTCTAAAAGTAATTCATGTTAAGGTAACATTCATATGTGTAAATAGAAAGTCACAGAACAAACACAATATAAAGCTGCGCCAAGCCTTGTAGTTACTTTTAAAACACTGTTAGTTACTTATTATTTACAACACAAAAATATTTGCGTAATCAATTGGAGACACCTCAAAATAAAATTTCAACTTTGATCGCGTTTTTCTCGAAACTGTTCACGTGTTATTTACTGCGTTTATAAATTGCGCGGCGTGTTCAAATCGCTTTGAAAACGGGTTTTTGCTCAAACCTTTCAAACAAAACAAAATTTTATTTATTTACTTGACTTCTCTTCCCCAGATCGTATTCTTTACGACGTGCCGTGTGCTGTCTGTCGGGACCACTCCTCCGGCAAGCACTACGGGGTGTTCGCCTGCGACGGCTGCGCGGGCTTCTTCAAGAGATCTGTGAGGAGGGACCGGCAGTACGCCTGCAAGGCGCGTACTCCCGGCAGCTGTCTCGTCGACAAGGCACACAGGAACCAATGCCGGGCGTGCCGACTTGCTAAGTGCCTGAGCGTCGGGATGAATCGTGATGGTGAGTATCGTTTTCTTCTTCCAAAAAGTGATACCATTTCGAATCAAGGTTGATGCTGCTACTAGACTCCTGACAGTAGACTTCATTACATTTGAAGTCGACAACCAGTCTTCATAAATAAGGTAACATGTGACATTATTCTACGTGCCGTGTGCTGTCTGTCGGGGCCACTCCTCCGGCAAGCACTACGGGGTGTTCGCCTGTGACGGCTGCGCGGGTTTCTTCAACAGATCTGTGAGGAGGGACCGGCAGTACGCCTGCAAGGCGCGTACTCCCGGCAGCTGTCTCGTCGACAAGGCGCACAGGAACCAATGCCGGGCGTGCCGACTTGCTAAGTGCCTGAGCGTCGGGATGAATCGTGATGGTGAGTATCCTTTCTTCTTCTTTCTTATTCTTCTTTATTATTTATTCTTATTCGTTTTTCTTCTTTATTTTTCTTTATCCTTCTTTCTTCTCCAGCGAGCAATACCCTTAACTCCCAATCAAGCTCCTGACGATTCTGCTGGCAGAATAACTACAGGTGTTTAGCTTTGTATTTTCATTCCAAATTAGGTTCTGAAGCTGCTACTAGGCTGCTGATAGTAAGTACGAGTAAGTGCTCATCAGCACCATAATCGTCATGATTATGCTATCATAGTGACATAATTGAGGTACCTACTTCAAAATGTTCATGTGAAGAGACTTGCATTAAACCTGAAAAACGCGCGTACTTCTGTTACTCAGTCTCTAAAATAATGATTATATAACAGAAATTTTAAAAATTACCAATAATAAAAACTATACATTTACAAAATAAAAAAAAATTCACCCCCAGCGCCGCAGTCAGGAATGGTGCCCAAAAGGCTGGCAGCATTGCCACGTTGAATGGCCAGGCTAATTCTCTGACCGAAATAGCTATTATAATTGTTTATTGAATTAAGAAATACAAAACAAAATATATATCAATTAAAAAACAGAAATTTTAAAAATACTACGTAGTAATTCAATAACAGTTTCATTACAAGATTAGAGTGTGTCGAATTAAATTAACCTACCTCTCATCACGATGACCCGGGTCACGGTTTTTCTAGGTACAATACTTATCTAACTGTGACCTAAATGTGATAAGCCTTTCTCGCTACTGAGCTTCCAAAGCTATTATACTCGTAAATGTCAACATTGTTTTTTATTATATAATGGACATGGTTCGAGGATTTCAATGTTATGTAATTTAAAAAGTAGGTACAAAACATTATTACCGAAATAGTTTAAGCTTAAGGGCCTCTAGCTAGGCTATCATGTACCTACACTTTGCTAATTGAACTGATATACGCTACTATTGTGGCTCAATATAACAATTCAGTATATTAGTAGGGAATTTAGTGCAATGATTTGTATGGAAACCCCTCCACTTTGGTATAGAAGGCTCATTTTTGCACCAGTTGTTCTTTGGGTGCTCCTGAGTAGATTTCCGTCGGTAGACATCGGGAGCCCCCCCTGTGGTAGGAGGGGGAGGGGGGGCAAGTTTCCTTCTGCCGCGCTTCACTTTAAGGCCCATATCTTCAAAACTATGGGTATTAGGGCAAGTGTGGTGTCATTTTCGGATAATTAAAGAATGGCGAATTCATTTCTAGAACAAACTTTTTGCCTTTTCATACAAAAAAATAGAAATATGGAGTAAAATTCACAAAAACCAAAAAGTATTTTTTTAAATAAACGTCGTTTACTTTTAAACCACTGGAGATAATCTAATAAAAAAAAATGTTGTGATAGCTACATTTATCAGGATTATAAATATGTACCATTGTATGGTACTTTTTTGAAAAAAGTAGGTGAAAAAAAATGTTTCTTCAGGACACAGCGGGCGAATTTTAATGCGCGTCGGAAAAAAATATTTATTTTATCCATGAATTCATACTATTTGGTTCATAAGCAAGTGAAGATTATTATTTTAGAATTTATTTAGAGTTCCTGGCACATCATGCTACCATGATTTGTATTTTTTCTTCAATAAATTTTGAACTCTATGTGTAAGACATAAGGTTGAAAATAGTTTAAATACATTTTATTATTGAAAATATCATAAGAAGAAAGCACTAAATAAAGAACTTGAATTTGTCTAAACGTCTAATGATTATTATTATTACGGTCATTCTCACGATCAGGCGTTCTCAGCCTAATTACCATATCATTTTTGAAATTTGGCTTAATTGACTTAAATGCATTTAAATATAAAACACATGAAAAGTACGAATTTAACAATCGTAAAGGCGTCAAATTATTCAAAGCGGTTTTCACGTAAATGAGATCCAAAAATTTTATGGTCACGGTAATTAGATAAGGCTAATACTTAATCTAACGGTAATTAGAAAAGATATGTAAAATAGCAAAAAAACAACATCTTGCATTGATAAATTTGTATACAAATATATAGCGTCATAAAAAAACGCTGTAGGTACACTTAATAACCCTTTGCAAAAAGAAAAACACTAATTTCTGTTATTTATTGTATCAAGATATTTTCAGTATACTGCAAGAATCGAGGCTATGGAACACTTGTTTCAGCAAGAAGGGATGCAGCAAATAGATTTCATGACGGTCTAGTCTTTGTTTGTAAGCTTTACAGGAGTTTTCTACACCCTCTTTGACGTTTGGTATCACTTCAGTGGACTGTGTAAACCAAGGTGCACAGCTCAAGATTTTTCATACTTTATTTTGAAAACGTTAAAGTATTTCTACATTTGCGAGGCTAAGTCGATGCCATATGTCTACATGGGTCTTAGGATGCATTTGTATATAGTTTGTTCTCCAAGCTTCTTCTGCCCAGTATACATTGCATATCACGAAGTTTTTTCTATGCATAACAAAGCAGTTAGGATGCATTCTAGGATGGTACAAAGTGCCTATACACTCTTGTTTTGAAAAGTCCCATTGTCTGTTGATTTGTTCCCTTTTGTTCTTAATGTGATTACGCCAGGTAAGTGTTACTGTTGGAAAATCTCATCTTCTTAGGGCAAAGGTAATATGGATAGATTTAAATGGTATTATATTAGAATTAATTAATGATTTAACATGTAAATAATTATCAATGATATTAATAGTAAATATAAGTATCCGGTACGAGATATGTTTCACGCAGGGGTAACATCTCCTGGCCATCAAGAAGCCCCGATTTCACTTCAGCTAAATTCTTTTTGTGGGGTTACCTTAGGGGTTAAAATATACTCTAAAATCCAACAACCATGCAGCAACTGAAGCTGAACATTCGTCATGAAATCGAATCTATTTCGAGGTTACTCTAACGAAAGCTTTTCAAAATTTTGATGTCAGATTGGAAGAAAAGTCCGTAAAGTTGTTATGCCAAAATGTCTAGGTATATTTCATATTTTATCATCATACTTATTCAATCGTGAGTGCCATTTGTAGGTAATAATTTCATACAACGGTGATTATAAATATATGGTAATTAGTACATGGAAATTATAAAATGATAGTTTTTCTTCAAAATTTCCAAAATCTGCAGCGTATGCAAATACTGTCTTACTACAACGTATAAAGGCCAAAGTACTGATTCTATTTAAATTAACAACGTGGATCTACCTTCAGAAATCGAGTATAAAAATAAGGACATGGTAAATAGAAAAATTGAAAACCAAAGATATGGTAATTATACTCTTACGCAATTCATCGACGGTACGCCAACGCAATAGACGTCTACTTGCTAACAGGTCTTAGAACTAACTAAGGGCTCGCGCCGCGCGCGTCAATGATGTGTCAAATATTATTATTTAGGCTTGTGTGCCCAAAAATAGAAAACGTCACGGGAATTAGGACTTTCGCTCGGACAAGCAGTTTTTTAATTCTAATTATTTACAGAATGGTTCTATTGAATAGATATTTTGCTATGCATAAGACAATCTTTTGTACTCTTTAAAAAGTTGAATGGAGTGAACCAAATCTAAACGACATAAAAATTACAACCAACTTTTAACATTAAGTCGGTGTGCGGACGCGTAACGGTAATTAGAGAACAGAGGTTCATGAAATTAATTAAGTCACAAATACTTAAAATAGAGGCCTATGATTTAATGCACAACTGGATAGGGTTGNNAACTCTAAATAAATTCTAAAATAATAATCTTCACTTGCTTATGAACCAAATAGTATGAATTCATGGATAAAATAAATATTTTTTTCCGACGCGCATTAAAATTCGCCCGCTGTGTCCTGAAGAAAAATTTTTTTTCACCTACTTTTTTCTAAAAAAGTACCATACAATGGTACATATTTATAATCCTGATAAATGTAGCTTTCAGGACATATTTTTTTTATTAGATTATCTCCAGTGGTTTAAAAGGAAACGACGTTTATTTAAAAAATTACTTTTTGGTTTTTGTGAATTTTACTCCATATTTCTATTTTTTTGTATGAAAAGGCAAAAAGTTTGTTCTAGAAATGAATTCGCCATCCTTTAATTATCCGAAAATGACACCACACTTGCCCTAATACCCATAGTTTTGAAGATATAGGCCTTAAAGTGAAGCGCGGCAGAAGGAAACTTGCCCCCCCTCCCCCTGCTACCACAGGGGGGGCTCCCGATGTCTACCGACGGAAATCTACTCAGGAGCACCCAAAGAACAACAGGTGCAAAAATGACCCTTCTATACCAAAGTGGAGGGGTTCTTGCACTAAATTCCCTACTATATAATTATCTAGTAATACAATCTAACGTCAGAGGCCGAGGCGCCCAGGCCGTTATCATTGAAGACTGGGCAGTGATTGACGTCAACTTAATTAGGTAATGTTAAGTGAATCTAATATTAGTTAAGATAACTATTATCTTCTGCTATCCATCTGATATTATTCTATAATCTGCACTCCTCCTATCTGCTTGAGCACAGATTGAAGGTAAAAATTAAGCTTCGGTAAGCAGGAAGTGTTTCGATTGTCTATCGCGATTACTTCTAGTAAAATCTATGAGTAAGATCGACTAAACCACACATCCCATAATTGTATGTTTAAAAATAGACATTAAAATTATTTCATTTGTTTCAGCGGTACAGCACGAGCGTGGTCCACGCAATTCTACTATCCAGCGCCAAATGGCGATGGTCTTCAAGGATCACCCGCCGCGCCAGCAGGGCCCCATCGACCTTACCACCCCGACGCGCCAAGTGCTGGCCAACCTCCCCGTACCCCATGTGAACAACTACTACTCGCGTCAAGCACATGAGTTCCCTGCGTGGCTGGGGCCCTACACCAGGGTGACGTCTGCCTACCTCAGCAGCCCCGAGCCCAATGCTATTTGCGAGTCCGCTGCACGTATAATATTTATGAATATCAAATGGGTGAAAAGCGTTCCAGCTTTTTTGGGTTTAAAGTCCCCGAGCGACCAACTGATGCTGGTCCTACACTCCTGGAAGGAGTTGTTTATACTGGGCACTGCTCAGTTTCTGTACCCGCTGGCCTTTAGGTGCCTCTATAATCCCGTCCACTCCCGATGTGACATAAGGGATGTGGACTTCTTCGAAATGATTCTGGACAAACTGGCACGGATGAGGCCTGACAACAACGAGTATGCGTGCCTCCGCGGCATGGCCTTGTTCAAGGCAAACATGGTGCAGATGCACCTGCCCGGAGATGAGCCGGAAATCAAACCGCTGGATGACCTCTTGGCGGTGAGCAATCTACATGAACGCTCGCGCGTCGTACTCTATGAGGTGAGACTTATTACTTTGACTTCTACTCTTAGCACTAAGCTTAAGTTCGTACTAAACTAACCCATAACATTTAAAATCTTTGAGTGAAACTAAGAAACCCATAACACATTAGTCATATGCCCTACATATTTACGAGTATGCTAATTAATACGGGACTATTCCCACCTCTCGTTCCCACCACTGCAACTCCTGTGTAGCCAGGATCTACAGCTTGACCGCCACAAAAACCCAACCAATGAAGGTCAAGTCTGTCCCGGGGGAAAGTTAAACTGTCATTGGACCCGCAACGAAATTAATCAGAAGAACATAGGAGGAGTTCGAAATTAAGGTTCGACTTCCCCTGACATGCTAATTAATAGTCTACCTCTTGTTCGCAGTACATCGCTATGCGCTACCCCATGGCCATAACTCGCGCCAAGGAGCTGATCGAGATCCTGGAACTGACCAGGGCCATACCAGCTCGGGTGATTGAGGAGATATTTTTTAAGAACACCATCAGGGACACCGCTTTGCATCGGATCATCGGCGACATGTATTCGAGGGAGGAGCCGCTCGTATAGTATTTACCTCTCCGAGTTTTCGGAGCCGACCGTTTCTACGGTCATTCATTGAAGCTCTACAGACAGAGCCCGTACTCTCAGCGGTACCTCGCTACCGTGTTGATGGCGCCGCAGTCGCGATACATGTGCGCCCTGTACTTTTCTTTCATCGCTTCTCTGCAAAATCAGAATCAGTAGAACTCTTTTTGCGAAACATGGACTTAGTTGACTTGCGATAAAGTACACAAATAGACATATTTCTTTGTCCTTTATGAATTAATTGTCCTATCTTGCATTGGTAACGAACGACACCAACAAAACGATAACTTAAAAAAATTAGGCTTAAAAAAAATCAATTAAGTTTTTATTTATATTATGTATTAAGTAGGTAGTCATGCACTATTTAGGCTGAAAAAAAAAAGTTTAATATGTAATTATTCCAAAAAAATGGCTTATAATGCGCAAAGTCAATTACTTAGTCCATGGACTGTAAAAAAGAAGTAAGTACTCGTAGATACAGTAGAAAATCATATAGGTACATATAATATTAATCTTACGTATCCCTAGACAAGTAATAAATCATTGTCATACAGCTTATTACTTTAATTCGAGCTTTTAATACATTTCATTAGCCTTTAAGGCTTTGAACTTAAAGCTCTCGGTAAAGCTGCGTTTTCCTCTATCGAGAAGCTTTGATAGAAATGGTAAGATGATTATAAAAACACCTTACTTCATTATTATAGGTATCATTGATTAGTGGTCGTTGCGACATTTTTTTAATTGCGAATTCATATTAATAAAATTAAGTCAAGTATGGTACTTATATAAATATATGATTAGTAGAAGAAGTAGTGAAGTAGGTAAGGCCCAGTTTTTTAATTCATAGTTAAAATAACTAATTGTTAAATTTTGCTACTAATGGTTAAATATTAACAAAACTAATAGTTAAAAATGTACTAAAAGTCAAGCTAACCATTATTCGAAAAACATTTTTTCTGATATTTAACAACTTGTCATTTGACATCTGTCAAATTTGACTATTGGTTATTTTAACTACGAATCAAAAAAACTGGGCCTAAGTAATGTTTAACCATATTTATCGATTTATTGATGTTAAAGGCAAGCATGTATATGCTTGATGTAGGTCGTAGTCGTAGTGTCGTCTAAAGATTACATTACATAGCTATAGCACAGTATATTATGTATTAATTACTGTGGTCATAGGATAGATATTATGTCCATTAATATCCTGTACGGCTAGCACGAAAAACTTTCGAGTTCAAATCGTTTGCGTACTCGAATCGCCATCAAAAGATTTAGTAAGAAAACTACAAAAGCGCCCTTGTGATCGTGTCGTAAAGTAAACTTAGTATGAGATGTGGTTGCACGAAACTTATTTTGAGAATCAAAATTGTCACGTTATCGTTTAATTCGAAGATTGAGTATCGAATTTTATCGAATACGCAAACGATTCGAAGACGAAAGTTGTTCATGCTAGAGGTACGGATAACCCTGATCTAAATTAACATGTTTTCTTATTTAGTTTGATTAAAAGTCGACTGGAATTTAAGTTATATGCTAAATGTCATTATTTATCTCTTGTATTCACATGTCAAAATTATGCCATTCGACTGATGGTTACATGGTTGTATTTTATTAATTCCATTTTAGTTATTATTTGTGTGTATTTTCTTGTCCCACCTACATATTCTTATTACTTACATGAATAAGATTCTAGTCATTAATATTATCCACATTTTATAGAAATAAGAAATACAATATTCAAATTCAAATTGTTTATTTGCATATTAATTCTGCACATTTTATTAGTGCTTATTTTATTAGGTATACCTTGTATAGGTACTTTCGTAAAATAGTGTAAACAATACTTGCTGTAAGGAAATTTCGGTCAATATGTGTAATAAAATTATTCCACACAATACCCATTTAAATTAACTGTTTTGCAACAAACTTACTATGTTTTTGCAATCTTTCTTGTATACTTATTTTCAATTATTACATTGCGCATTAAATAATAAATTGTAGCAGTAGCAGTAGCAGTAGCTACTAGACATGATGTTATAATAATTATCATTCATATAATTTAGACTTGAAAAAGTTCACGGTTCTCTTTTATTTATACAGTATTATTTTATATTAAGATAGTGACTTTTTATTTTACCTGCATAATATAATTAATCTTTAATGTTGTTATTTCTTAATATTGTAGTAGTTCGATATACGATTCAATGTGATAAATGTTCGATGTTGTTCAATAAAATTAAAAAAATAAATCAGTCTTATTATTTCATAATATCCTCCACCAGCGTTGCCAGACGTCCCGATTTCGGCAGGACGTCCCGATTTTTAAATCAAATTTATGGGTCATTCCACCGGCCAAGAAAATCACGTGTCCGGGGCCAAAAAGTACCCGAATATCATAATATTTTAGTAACAAATATTTTTATCTAATAGTATAACTTTGGTTCTTGTTGTTAAACCACAGAGATAGTTAATAATAGTTAATTAAGTAATTTAAAAAAAATCGTAAGTCGTCAAAAATTGATTACCACGACGTGTCCGCGCTCCCGATTTCAGAACAAATTTGCTCGTATAAATTAATCCGTTATTATTACCGGTTTCAATGCTTATGTAATCGATTACTGATTAAATAAACATTGATAAATTAAATACGATATAACTATATGACTAAAAGGTTTTGTAAAATAACTATTTGAAGTTGTGTCCAGGCGTTAACCGTGATTACCCCGACACGTCACTAATGTGCGCCTACGTCCCTAGCTACGCAATTTAGAAACGAGCTCTATCCTCCCCCGTGAACCTTTAGTGGTGGCCTGCGTGCCGAGGTGATCGGTAATGCAACTCGTCGCAGGATTTCGGAGTTATCGAGATAAGAATATGATTACCCCGACCTTGGTTCAGTGCACGATTGATTTACTCTATCCTGTTTTTTTAGGTTTCTTTACATGGAAAGTTCTTGAGAATGTACAGGAATAATGGTCCATGTAACCGCATTTTTGTGTATTAAAACATATGGGATTCAACTTACAGATTGGGCAGGGCTCAGGATAAACCTTAATTTTTTGACTACCCCGACCTTGATTACCCCGACTTTTGTCACCGAGTAATCAATAATACTGTAATTTTACTAATGAATGATTAACTAAATAACGTTTAATAAGCAAAATTACCCTTTACTAAAATGAAATCCTATCTCCTATTAATACATAATATTATCCCTCAAAATTGGCAAGACCCCTGGACTCGACCTTATCACCGCTGAAATGCTGTAAGCCGATGTAAACTCCGCCGTTAACGTCCTGACACCTGTCTTCGAAAACATCTGGATGGAAGAGGAACTCCCAGACGACTGGCATAAGGGGCTTCTAATTATTGTGCCGAAAAAAGGGTAAAGCAAGGGTATCAGTACCGGAAGACCCAAGAGATGCGATCTGGAGTGAGGAATTGCACACCGTTGGTGCAGAGGATGTCCAACGAGTCCACAATTTCACTTACCTCGGGAGCATCGTTTCAGAGCCTGGAGGTACCGAAGAGGACATCACTTCGCGCATTGCCAAGGCCAGAGCTACCTTCGCACAACTTCGAGCCGTATGGCAGTCACGGAAATTGACCCAAGCAAGATCAAAATATTCGGGTCCAACGTCAAACCAGTTCTGCTCTATGGGCGTGAAACGTGGAAGGTCACTAAGGTTATCTCGTACCAGCTGCAGATCTTCTTCAGCCGCTGTCTTCGCCGAATTCTCCAAAATCTTCAAACGACGAACTTTTGGAACGCTGCCACGAAATACCGATCTTTCAGCAGAATAAACGCTGCAAGTGGAACTGGATCGGCCACACTCTCCGAAGGGACCCCGATCACATCCCCAAGCAGGCTCTAGATTGGAACCCCCAGGGAAAATGCAAACGTGGTCGCGCCAAAAAAACATAGCGGCGCACTGTTAAGACTTGGAGCGAGATTAAACACGAAGCTCAAGACCGAATGCGATGGAGGACTGTTGTGGACGCCTTCTGTCCCATATAGGAGACATAGGACATTGAGTCACTAATATTGTATGTATAATGTATATGTATGTTTTTTACTCTTTTACGCAACAACTACTTAACAGATTTTGTTGAAACTTTACAATATTGTCGTTTATACATCAAAATAACAAATGGCTAGTTATAATAACATGTATTTTACCATAACTTTAAAAAAACCTTAGAAATAAAATATTTTGTTTTATTTTTGATTACTCTGACTCCCAACTTTGATTACCCCGACCATGAAAATTTTGATGTCGCATAACTTTTTATTCCTGCTTGCTACAGATGGGCCAATATAAAAAATATGCTCGTAATAATGTCTATTTTGAAATGTTTTACCTAAACTTACTCTAAATTCAAAAATAAAAAAGGTCGGGGTAATCAACAAAATAATCCAGATCCGGAGAATGACCGTCATATGTCCCGCGCGGGACAGGCTCGGTCCCGCTTTTCGGAGAGAGACACTCACTTCACCAGACTTGTTTGAAACGCCATATTATTGTAAAGAATATTTTTTTATTTTAATTTTTGTTTTTTTTTTTTTATTCTAAAGACGGATTTAACGATAGACTAAATCTGATTTAAAATATTATTTTTTTGTTAAAATACAGTTTCTATTTCTACTTTTGCTATCTATTGTCACGTAAACGTAATTTTAAGTCAAATAAAAAGACAAATATTTGAAAACCTTTGATTGTATACGTTTTTTTACTATGTCCCGCTTCTGACGGAAGAATCCCGCTATTTTCATTCAAAAAGTACCAAAGTCCCGACATGGCGAAAAAAAACTGGCAACGCTGTCCTCCACATACAAATCAAGTCCTATCTTTTGCGATCTAATTCTTAAATAAACTATGAAGTTACTATTACATAAACTAAGTACAAACGTATAGGTACCTGCCTGAAAATTTAAATACACAATTTTAATTTCCAGAAATCTTATTTTGATCATTTAAAATTTTAAACTATTGATTAACGAAATTTAATTCATATAAATTCAGTAAATATTCGTTAAAAACCATTATGTAAGTACCTAATTCCTATTCATAGCAATGAATTTGATTGGGTAGTAAGTGTCTGTGAAAATTATGTCGAAAATAACAAAATTGTATCATGATATTGAATAAGATAAAACAATGAAAATAGCTATCGAATGCATCCGAAACATTCCACAATTCCATAAAAGCATACCACACCGAGCAAGGGCCCTTTCACACCCCATTTTATGAAAATACTTTCCAAATGGCGTCCCTATTAGGCTAGTTTCCTAAAAAATTACTATTAATCCGTCAATTGCACTATCAAAAAATTTAGGACACGTATATT